AGACAGAGAATATTTTAATATATAGATTAAAGAGTTATTAGATTTAAAGGTAATAAGACCATCTAGTAGTCAACATAGATTTGCAGCTTTTATGGTTAGAAATCAAGTGAAATTAGAAGAGGCAAAGCAAGAATGATTATAAATTACAAAAGATTAATGATAATACTGTAGAAAATGGATATAAGATACCAGATAAAGACATGTTAATAAATAAAATACAAAATAGTAAAATATTTTTGAAATTTGACTGTAAATCTAGATTCTGGCAAATAAAATGGCAAAAAATTCTATTCCTTGGACAACTTTTACTACACCACTAGGACATTTTGAATGGTTAGTTATGCCTTTTGGATTAAAAAATACACCCTCTATTTTTCAAAGAAAGATGGATAGTATTTTTCATTCTTTTCCATTTATTTGCGTATATATAGACGATATCTTGATATATAGTAAAAATCAGAAAGAACATATGCAACATTTAGAAATAGTTTTAAATAAATTTATAGAAACGATTTAATTATAAGTAAAAAGAAAATGAAAATAAATAAACAAAAAATTGAATTTTTAGGAATAATTTTAGGAGAATGAAAAATCCAGTTGCAATCGCATATAGTACAGACAATTTTACAATTCCCACATAAAATAAAAGAAAATAAAAAAGTACAAGCCTTTTTAGGAATTTTGACTTATGCTAGACATTTTATTACAGATTTAGGAAAGAAAGTAGGACCATTGTATAATAAGCTATCTAATAAAGGACATAATTATTTTTATGAGTCAAATATAGAACTAGTTAGAAAAATAAAAGAAGAAGTAAAAAAATTATCACCATTAGATAGCGAATATAAAATAATAGAAATAGATAGATGTGAACTTGGATGGGGAGGTGTTTTATATTCCAAACATAATAAATATAGTGATAAAAAATAAGAAAAAATTTGTAGATATGCAAGTGGAAAGTATAAGATGAAAGAAAAATATTTGACTAATTTAGATTATGAAATAATAGCGATCATACATAATATAGAAAGCTTTAAATTAGTTTTAAATACTGAATTTGCAATTAGGACAAATTGTGAAGCTATAACAAAATTTATTTAAAAGACAAACTTTGATAAAATAAGACATAAAAGATGGTTAAAACTATATGAGATATTAAACAACTTTAAAATTAATATAGAACACAGAGACGTAAAAAATAATATTTTGGATGATAATTTAAGTAGACAAGTTATTAATTTTCCAACTCATTATTTTCATGGTGCAGACAGAGAATGATGAACTTTGGGAATGTCACTCTAAGAATGGCCCCACATGGATCTAATCTCCGATTTAGAGGAAATAATTTAGCAAGACTATCGAAAGGGAGCGTTGTCTACTAGATAATCTCGGGATGACACGTGACTCTAAACAAAAATTAGACAGCATTAATGCTTTAGCTAATCATTTTATACAGATTCACAATCAGGTAGAAAGCGGAAATTTTAGTTTCTTTGCAGTAGTTAAAGGTAGAAAGCCAGATATATATAATTATTGGCCAGAAGTTTTGCAACAAGTAGAAAGATTTTCAGATCCCCTTTTTGAAAGATTTTAGACATTAGAAGAAGTTTTAAATTTCTGTAGAGAAATGATAGGATTTAACTTTTATATATCTGAAAGGGCTAGACAGACTATGCAACCTGCTACTTCTCAAGCGTCATCTTCATCCTCAATACAATTTTGTGATAGTTGTGAAACTATGACCAATGTTATTAGAAATTTAAATCTTAGAAAGCAATTATTAGAAGAAAGATTACTTTGAAGACGAAATCTCTTCATCTAACAAATTATTAGTAAATATCAACATGAGATTCTCCAATTACATGATAATTTAAAAAGATTAAGTTCTAAAAATGTTGTTGAAAGGCCTATCTCTAAAGATATTGCATCTACAAGTAGGAATTATTCTGATAAAATAAAAAGACTTATTGAGTTAACAGACTCTACAACTGCAGAGCAAGAAAAAACTTTATATGAATTAGAACAGAAAATTGGTGATTGTGCCAGTATTGTTCGAAGTGCTATAAATGAGTCAGTAGTACAAGAAATTATCGTTTTCTCTCAAATTCTAAGCTACACAATGAAAATCGATACTTTCTTAAACATGGCCACAAATATGAAGCAACCACTAACTCAGCATTTCTTAGACATAATTACCCTATAATATCTTTCGACTATACAATTTTTGAAGGAGAATACCTTTTTTATCTAGCCTTAAAGTTCGGCATGATAGACACAATATACATTCTAAATAGATCTTTCAGATTTTTTCCACCTAAATTTAAATATATTTTTAATCAGTTAAAAGATCACCCTCTGATTATTCAATTCATTTCTAGACCACCTCTTGTAAATAATGGTATAATAATTCCCGTTTATCACCATAATTTTAATATACGAAGAAGCCAATAGATTTCTATCTTCCTCTAAAATCAATACAAAAATAAAAATTAGACAGATTGACTACGAAAGACGAATCTCAAAAACCGTCGCAATAATGGAAGTTCAATATAATAATTCTAGACTTGTAGCTCAATGGAACAATGTAGTTATTTTCTGTTAAGAGCATCTTTCTTCAAAGGTTAAAACAAAAAAATTTTAGTACCAAATATTGAACAAAATGAGCTATATCTGATGACCTTCCAAGAAACAAACGATGAATCAACAGAAAGACAATCAGATAGAGAAGAAGAAGAAGAAGAATACATATCAGATGGACAAACTAATGACTAGAAGAAGCCTACATAAAGATAATGGATATATAGGCAATTAAAAGAGAAAATACGTAAAGGAAAAGTAAAAAACAGATGAATAGTGTTCAAAGGACAATTATCAAATCAAGAAAGTCAAAAAATTGGAGCTAAGAAAACAAAAATATCAGAAAGATTCTCACAACTGTAAAGAAACATTTAATTACTTAATTATATGTCATACACTTGTAAAGTTATACAATACTAATTACTTTTTCTTCAATTGTAATTCACACACCTATAAAGTTTTATAGTGTAGAAAGTATAGACGTGATGTGCCAGCGTCTATAAATGCCAATACCACTTATAGAAAGAACACACCGAGAAAAATAGCAGCATAACACATTATAACATTTGCACTCAAAAAAATAAAAAATTCAAAGACATCCCTATAAATTCAATCCTTGTAGATTCAAAGATTTCAGAAATAAAGTAAGTCATTTTCATACTTTCTCTTGTTTATAATTTCTGTTTACTTTATTTATTTTTCGGACAAAGCCTAAAAGAGGAAACACCAAGTAAACAATCAATTTATTCAAAAATTATATTTTATTTTCATATATAATCCTAACGCTCTTAGCCTCTTTATTCTTGATTTCATGACTAAAAATGATAAAGTAATCCCCTGAGTTAAGTCAGCTATTTTACTTATTAAGTGAGTTTGATCAAACCTTTTAAACATGATGAAAATCCTTTTTCGTTACAGTTTTAAGCCTTTTTAGAAGGTCAAGAGAAAAGTTGAGAGAGAGTTAAAAAAAAAGTATTTGAAGAAATTAATTTGTTGAACGGTAAAGTACTCTAAGACCATTACAAACATATTGTTTTTAATTTCCTATAATTTATGTCATTAGACGATTATACTTTACTTTATGGTTCTTTAGAAAATTTTAAAAAAACTATTATATCTATCTAGAAAATCGAGAAATCGGTAGATTGGTTATTATAGGAAGCCACATATTATCCGCATTAGATAGAGATATATGTGACTCTTCTTTACAGATCAAGAAACAAATCACTTATCTTTCTATCTCTCAGTGTTAGAGATTCTTGATGGAAGATCCGAAAGATTGTAAAGAAAGACAAAAAGCCATAAAAATTATAAGAGAAAATAATAGAAAGACAAAAAAACCAAAAGATTCCTTCCTTACTGTAGATGGGTATCAGATCTAATTTTAGTCCATGTAATTAGTTTATGAAAAGAATAGATTACTTAAATCTAGAAATTCTAGGAAATTTTAAAAGAAAAGATACTTTAGACACGACTTCCTTAGTTTGTAATTTTGATAAAAATTTTAAACATCTTTTACATTCTGAAGATAAACAGCTAAATAGTATTGTAGATTTACTCGTAAATTTAGGAGAAAACATAGATAGGAATAATTCCAATAAAAATGTATAATTTTACACGTAAATTTAATTTTTTTTTCTAATTTTTTACACATTCTCCAAAAAATCAATATTACAAAATCCATTTTTTCTAATAATGGAGCTCAAGTAAACCCTTGTACATATATTTTCCAACTACTAAAATCGTAATGCATAGACCTGAACCATTAAAATCATGCCACATTAGCATTCAAAGTAATAAGGGGGGAACAAAGTGGACCTCGGATGTCGATGTGTCACGATTTAAATGGTCTGGATTCGAAGTATTACGATGTATATGACCAGTTCTGCTACGTGTACAAATAAAATTGTCCCATCGAAACATTTCTCGAATATTGAACTCCAAATTTATCCCAACTCAACCTATAAATTGATTCCACGTTTTTAATTTAAACTATCCCATTGTTAAGTACTCTTAAGAGTTCGATGCAACTTAATTGTGCTCGTATTTGAAAGAGGTATGTGTAGTCATACTTATTAGTATCAATTTATAGAGACGTAATCTAATAAAACTTGATCAGAAGCAACTTAATTAAGTTGATATTTACTTGTTAGTATCCAATTTATAGAGGCATAATCTCATAAAACTTGATTATAAGTAAATTATGCTGTTAGAATCCAATTTGTAGAGGCATAATCTCATAAATTATGCTGTTAGAATCCAATTTGGTCACAAGCAGCTTAATTATACTGATATTTCAAACGTGTGGACATAACATAATTGATAGTACCCAATTCATATGGACAGTAAAACAAAACTTGGTTGCTGATAAATACTTGGATTTAACTTATCGATAAAAATTAAAGGCATCATTGTGTGGTAAAATGGAGCTCCGAATTTTCTCGTCTCCATCTCCTGCTGGTAATCTCTCTCTCTCTCTATAAATTTGTGTGTCTTCTTTGGTTTGAATAACTGCAGTATTATGATTATTCATCGAGCTAATTATTTAGCATTTTTCTTGGAATTTCCAGTAGTGTGTTCTCGATTACTTGAGCAGAACCAGTTATTTCATTGATTCAAGGATACATTTTGCTAATTTAAATATTATTTTATGACAAAAAGATTTTTATTTTCTTTATGATATCCGTTTTTTGGTTAAATTTGTTGTTGTCTGGGAATCTTGAAGAAGAAAAGAATTATAAATACTTTGAAGTTCAAAAGAATTTGTCGATTTGGCTGAATTGAACATAATTTTAAGAAACTGGACGATGATAATTCTTTAACAATTTAGATGGGTTGAAAGAAACTCACGTAAAGATTGTATCTATGTATCAATTACCACTTCGGATTATTTTAGTGAATTTCATATGAAGTTAATACATACGAGACTCTAAAGCTTGGTCATTGACCTGTAATTTGAAACTCAAAAACGAAGTGTGTAGTGTCATATTTCCAGGTTAGGCATCACATGTACAGGTGGACGAAGAAGTATCATAAGTTTGGATCTAATGTGAACAACAGATTTCTCAAGAAGAATGTGAAATTAGAAAAGGCATACTCCTCAAAGAAAAGTAGAGGTTCCGTTTATTGTTTGAATAATCCGGAGAATGATCCTTGTGTACCTTCGGAGACTCAACTACTCAATGCCAAAGTGATTTATTCTGTTGCTCCTGCCATGGGCCATAACAAGGTATGATTTCTGTGTTATGTACTTTCATACACATGGATCCTGTCTATTTGACATTTTTAACTTTTAGTATGTTTTTCCCTGATTTTACAATTGTAAACTGAGAGATTGTTGAGTTAAAGTGTATATTCTGCCTCAATAGCTTCATAAGCACATTTTATTTAGCTTTCTTGAACTTAGTTGCAAATAATCATTTTTTTCTAGAATAATCTTATGTTTTGCTTGAATATATTCCTTTGGACTCGATGCTTGTACGTGTTTCTTTAATCAGTAATGCTTTGTATTGTATTAAATTGGAAAAGTAAATTGTGATCACTCCGTTTGGGTTCTGTATATGCTGGAATAGCTGTTGTTTATTGTGTTCACTGTTCACAATTATTGCCGAAATACTAACCAACTGATACCTCCTGCTTGTCTCCACTTTTATCTGGAAGACTAATTCTTACGCTGCATTTGTAATTTCTAAATATCAGACTATCAGGAAAATAAATCAGTTGTTGCCTGGAGTCTTAAACTCAGTCATCCCTTATCCTATTCAACTACACTACCAACAATATTGTTATTTGGCCATTTTGTTAATATTTAATCATAACATAGGAAAATAGATGGTATTTTCTACCAAGATCTTCCATAAAATTGTCATGTTTCTAGATTATTGAAGTATATAAGTAAACTGTGGTTTTGGAACCCTATTTAATGAAATGAGTAATCTAGCAGTTAACTGAATGGAGTGGCAATGAAGAATTCAAATAGTCGACTCCAAATTTATTGGGAACAAGACTCTGTCTTTTGTTGTTGAATCTCTATAACTAGTTATGAGAGCTCTAAGATTGTAGTTAATTCAATTGCAGGGGATAGGATTGTACTGAATTATTGGTTAAAGAGCTTTTACCTAGTGTCCTATCATCATTAATCTTTGAACTTCACTCTATAACCTGCTATCACCTCCCTCCTCGCCACCTCAAACCCAATTCATTGGAGTTTTCAGTTGAAGCTCTAATTGGCAAATAAAAGCTGCCATGTGTTGTAAATTTGAAGTTATGTTGATACCTAAATATTATTATCAATGCAGCTGACAGATTGCTTATGTTCTCTTTTAGCACTTTCACTCTATTATGGTTTCTTGTTCTCTTTTATTTTGTTAAAGCTCTCTGTGTATTTGTAACTGAACTTTGTATCCTTTTATCTTTTTTCATTTTTATTTCCTATCACTTGATGTATTATATAGCACATATAAAATTGTAAAAGATAAAAACAATGCATTATTGGACAGATTGGTGCAAATGATGCATTAATTTCAGAAAAATGAGTTGAAAATTGATATTTTGCAAAGATTTAGCATGCATATCTCATTATTCTAACTGGAAGCTTTAAAGAAGCCACTCGCTAGCATTTTTACTTTACTGTCTTACTAAATTGGGTTTTCTTGTTCTCTCTCATTGTATGACATAACTTTCTAGGAAGAGAACAACGTAGGCACCATGTTCTCTTCTTCTTCTTCTCAATTTCGTTCAGATCTTTTAATTATGCAAATCATTCAGCTTATCACTTGAGTGTTTCTGAAGATTTTCTTCATTGCTTCTTCCTAAATATTCCTCAGTTCTCTCTCTCTCTCTCTAATTAACTCCGTATATCAGGAGTCACACCCTGAATGCAATTCCAGAGTTCCTGCCATTGTGAATGCTCTTGAAAAGATGGAACTGACTTCAAAGGTACAAAAGTGATTACGCATTTAGTTTCACATCTTTGCATAACTAGATGATTTTGTCAACCTGTTTGCAAAACATGTTTAGCAATTTATCAATTTTTTTTTACTATGAATATCTAATATATTAGCCTCAGATCCTCTGTTTTGGTCCAAAGTTTCCATTGTGGTGTTCTAAGTGGGGGAAATTATGTTCTTGGTTTTGTAATTTTCTCTTCAAAGTTACATAAGATCACCTTCTTGTTCATCATGCCGTCTTGTGTTTCAGTACCGCGGCACAGAGATTATTGAACTTCAAAGTTTCAGATCTGCTAGTGTAGATGATATAGCAAGTGTTCATGAAAGAGCTTATGTGTCTGGACTTGAGAAGGTATGTCTATATTGCTCTTTATCTCTTGAAGTTGGTCTTTAATTGATATGAAATATTTTTGAAAAATTGTTAGTATGTTCGACTAAAGAATAAGCACGTGATTGTCTGATTTATCATTTCTACGCAATCCTATTTAGATGAACTTCTCAGTGACTAGTCTTAGCTTTATTTCTATTCAATCTTTTTTTAACTTCTTGGTGGTATTTTCAGGGTCGTATCCTCACTAATTTTTAATTTGCTTCATCATGAAGGATGAAGCCATTATAACTTTAAATTTGGAAATGGCTAATTTACCCTTTTCGTTAATGTGATAATGTGGAACTATAGTTACCTGATCTCTCTCTCTATTGTGTTCTGTAGGCAATGGCTCAGGCCTCAGAACAAGGTCTTATTTTTATTGATGGCTCTGGACCAACTTACGCTACTGCCACGGTGAGAACACGCTTTTGAACTGTAGTTTCTCCCCATTTTCAGTGCTATATTACTGCAAACTGATATTCATCACTGCTATATTTAATGACAATCCTTTCATCTTTTGAAGAGTTAGATATCTTATTATAAGAAAGTTAGTGCTGGCTTTGAAGATAAGCATCCTAGAGAAATTGTAAGGTGAATAGTGTCAGTACACTAACCAATCAAATCAATTGTCGACATTATTCAAAAACACTAGTCCTATTTATAAAATTTAACTAAAATAGCAAGTTTCTGAAATAATAAAATTGTAAATTTCTTAACTTAAACCTATTATGGTCAGAAAATAACATCAGAATTTATTTCTTAATTTTATGTCTAAAATAAGTGTACTTTCTGTAAATCTTCAATGAAATTTTCATCACTTATGATTTGTATACAACTTCTAATAATAATTTTCTATAACTACTAATTATACATACATGATAATAATTTTCTTTTGGACAATTTTTGTTTGATGTCAAAATTTTAAAAAATAATTTTACCCATTCTCTAAGAGTATTAAGCATTTAGATGAGACAATTCAAAATGGTATGAGAGCAAATAAAGTCTTGTAATCAAGTCTTGGCACTATTTTGTGAAAATTGTGCACATGTAAGGAATTTGATGAAAACAAGAATCTGGCCTGCATGTAAAGAACACCAAGTTTAAATGAATAAGTCCACTCGTTTATTTCTGGCGAGTAATTGAATCTGCCAATGATGATGTGCTAATGATGTATTTATTTCTCATTTTGACATTCTCAATACAGACATTCCATGAGTCGATATTGGCAGCTGGTGCTGGAATTTCGCTGGTTGATTCAGTGGTGATGTCTCAATCTAATACGTTAGTCGCTTTTGTGATGATCTTTCCTTTCCCCGTGATACTATTATTTATGTATACATTTTTTATTTGAATTAATTCTGTGTTATTTTTGTCATGGTTATGAAAGTTTCTCTTTTATAATGAGATGGAGATACCTATTTCTGGAAACCCTGATTATTTCTGTGGCCCAATGTTGCAGGTTTTGGCATCAAAATTTAGGCATGATCCTCCAGTTGGTTTTGCTTTGGTACGGCCTCCTGGTCACCATGCTATTCCCAAGGGACCCATGGGATTTTGTGTGTTTGGAAATGTGGCTATAGCAGCTCGCTATGCCCAACGTGTACATGGATTGAAGCGTGTATTTATCATTGACTTTGATGTTCATCATGGGAATGGGACAAATGATGCCTTCTATGAAGACCCTGATATATTTTTTCTTTCTACTCACCAAGTAAGCCATGCTATAATTAAATTCCCAACTACGCCTTACCTCTATATTCATATTTTAGTATAATTTCTTGGAAACTATGAAGCTTAATGAGATGACATAAATTTCTTCCATTCGAAGTTTCAAAGTTAGGTCTGAGATATCCTAGATCATGCAAAACTAGAATATAGTTCATATAAAATTTCTGCTTCTCCTGCCTAAATTGTGCACTCCTCTGAACATACTGGAACAATTGTAGAGAAGATTTTAAACAAGTAACCATCATTCTGTGCAGGAAGCTTACAATGGTTACAAATGAAACATAATTTTTTGCCTATTGGCCTACCCATTTACTAGAAACTTATTATTTTGCTCAATGGCTGAGCCAAGTTTTTGTATTGGATAGTCATTCCCCTCGTGGGATGGCAAAAATGTCTTTCTTGCCTGTTCTATTGTTTGAGCTTCAACATATAGAAATATTTCTTTAAGTGATTGCGTTTATATTATAACTTATTTCCTTGCTATGCTTCTTCTTCCTCAGCTTGGAACCTCCTGTTCTCTCTCTCTCTCTCTCACGTGCACACTCATAATCACGTGCATAAAGCTAGTTGTTTGCAGCACTGAACAAAGTCATCGGTCTAGGGAAAGAAAAGGAAAACTTCATTGTGAAAAGAAAAAGGATTTCACTTAACTTGCAACCACATTTTTTCTTTTATGTTTTCTGAATTGATAATTTCTGATCTGCTAGCAAGATAATGTAGCTTTGGATATTTAGCTAATACCTTACTGATAATCTGAAAATATTTACCCATGTTTAGCAAGCAACTGCACTGTAAGCCTTGTATTAATCTTTCTGAGATATGTTGACATTGCCAGCTATTTAGTTTGCATAATACCACCTTTTCAATATTAAGCGTATATTTCTTAATATTTAGATTGTTATTTTGGGCGAAACAGAACGTATAATTGAAGTAATAGAGATTCCCTAAGCAGGATTGCATTATTGACTTTAACATGCACAGATCTTTAGTTTTTGAGCTCGATTGATAAATCCCTATCGCTATTTTTACGCTGTGTCCACTTTATAATTTGATTTATATCTAATGTAGGATGGGACTTATCCTGGCACTGGTAAAATAAATCAGATAGGTCGTGGAGATGGTGAAGGATCAACGCTTAACCTGCCTTTACCAGGAGGATCGGGTGATAGAGCCATGCAGACTGTCTTCAATGAAGTTATTGTACCATGCGCTAGGAGGTTCAAGCCGGATATAATTCTCGTGTCAGCTGGGTGAGTAATATTTTCATATATTTTCTTGGTATACTCAAAACTCAAGCCTGTTTTGATCTCTTATCATTCCCTGTCAATTTAGCTAAAAGTATTCGTGCTTCTTGCATATATTATATGAGGTTTATGAATTTTTCGTCCAGATACGATGCACACGTGTTGGATCCACTGGCAAATCTGCAATTCACAACAGGAACATATTACATGTTGGCTTCAAGCATTAAGGAACTTGCCAAAGATTTATGCAGGGGTCGCTGTGTGTTTTTCCTTGAAGGAGGGTATAACCTCAGTTCTCTTTCGCATTCAGTTGCGGACTCATTCCGTGCCTTTCTTGGGGAGCCGAGCTTGGCCGCGGAGTTTGACGACCCGGCCTTCCTCTATGAAGAGCCATCAGATAAGGTTAAGGAAGCTATTCAGAAAGTCCAGCACATACATTCTCTGTGAAATCCAGATGATGCATCATGCCCTATATCATGTATGTTCATTGTATCTATTAGATTCTATATGGGCACCCCTCTATAAATAGGCCTTACACCCTTGGTGTAAAATTGTATAGGGCAAGTATATTGTCTTACAATGGTAGATGACAGTATAATTGCATATATTACGTTCTATTTTAAGCTGCTTGTCGACAATTTTTTATAAAGGCCTCGACGAGCATAAATATAAGACTGTTTTTCCGTTCCCGTTCTTGTCATGTTGCTTTTCGCATTCCGTCCACCCAAACTCAAATGCTGTTAAAATTGTCAGTTGCAAAACTATTAAAAACTCACTTTAACGCATTTGAAAGTGGATATCCCTCTGCCAACAACCAGTAAAGTCTGTCAACCAGAGCTGATAATAATTGCAGCTGAGGGCACTACAAGTTCATATTCGGTACGGTACTTAATGGGATGGTAAAATTTTTCATTCTGGTTTAATACTATCAGTACCCTCTTTACCAGACATGCCACGAGTATGGCAGAGGTAATTTACATATATAAATAATAGAAGATTAATGTAATTCAGAACAATTTAAACGTCAAGATTCTTTGTAGACAATTTGATAAAGGAGTTCGGTGATGACTGAGTTGAATTGCAACTATTCTGGAACATCAATGTTATTCAAGAAACAGCAGTTGAGCAAACAGTGCCCTCACTTACAACTGCAAAATGAACTGTCCTAATCGCGTTGCAAATACTATTGACCAGTTATAACTACTCATTTATAAATAGAATCACAAGGACGAAGCTTTCTCCTTTAGAGACTCCTGAACAGCTTTCAAGAGAGCCGGCATCAACTTCTGATTTGTAACTATTATGCCAGTGTCCAAGTCGAGATATCTTCCCCTCGAGAAGTCCAAAGGATTTCCAGCAGCATCTGTAGCCACACCTCCAGCTTCTACAAAACCAGATTTGAGAACATTAGCAAAAATTTATCGTGGATCAATATATGTCATGTGCATCTTTTTAATTAATTAATTACATATCTATTTAATAACATCATAAGTTCTTTTTTGTGCACATAATTTGAGATCCTTTTGTATTCATAATGTGAATCTAACTATTAAGGGAAACATGCAAACACGATAAACCATTTGTTGCAAGAAAAAAAATTAAATATGAACATACATCATAAAACTGGAACAATATCCAATTAGCTCAGATTCAGTCTAATTATACAGTCTGGATGATGGACCAATGATCCTTCCTCTAGCAGTTTGTATAATTTGTTAGTCCCAAAGTAGCAGCTAGATTGCCTGACTTTTGAACATTATACATATTCTTTGTTTTAATTCTAAACTTACAGTAACATATGCAATTAACTAACGGGAGATCAGTTGTTACTACCGATAAACAAAAATTGTGAACAATGATATGATTCTGCTATCAAGAACAATGATTAATAAAATGATAAGAAGATTTTATAAACCTGCAACAACTATGTATCCAGCTGCATGGTCCCATATCTTTTCTCGGTATCCTTTGTGAGGGAAACGCAGGTATATTGCTCCGTCTCCTCTAGACAAAGCCCCGTACTTTGCTTGGCTGTCTATTCTAACAGGAGGTGCTTTAACACCGAGTTTCTATCATCAAATACAAAATTACAAGCTTTTTGCAAAAATATACAAGCGAGCGTCAGCAGAGAGAGAGAGAGAGTACTTTGGCTATCAGACCAGATAAGTCATGCATCGAATGTGCTGCTTCAAAAGATTCAAAGAATGATGCTTCTTCAGGGTTTTCAGTTGCAGAAACATGTACCTGAAAGGCAATAGGAAAATTGGATTTCAATGTCTGGTTGAAGCATCAGTTAAAGTAATCGTGTAAGGATACAAACCTTTGTTGCCTTGGAGCCATCTAGACTCTGCATATAAGTTCCAGTACCAACTTGGGCATAAAAAAGACAACCAACATCATCTTTAGAAATGAGCTGATTGTGGCTGGCAACAGATGATAAAGGAAGATTTGGGCAGGCCAACACTCCCAACACAACTTTCCCTTCATCTAACAATGCTAATGCAATGGCATACTGGTCTCCCCGTAAAAATCTGCAATAGTGCAGGCACAAGTCATCAATGCTAACAATGGGCTCTCAAGACTTATATACATCCAATATTATACGCTCTCAAACCCATATAGTTGTGCGTGCAAGTGTTTGCGCACAGGAGGTGGGGAGAGTCAGAGAGAGCACGTTTGAATCTTATCTATAACCTGTTTGATGCCCAAAATGCATTTTGGAATAGTATTTTGATGGAGAATGTGTGGTTAAAAAATAAGGAAAAGTTTTGGGTTTGCGTGTAATATTATTTTATTGAAGAATGTGTATTTGAAAATAAGAGAAATGTATTTTGAAAATAATGAGGACCAAACAAGGGCCTAATCTTCTAGGTTCTTTTACTACTTTTTAATTTTTATCCTCAGTTATTGAAGTATCTCTCTGACCATATGACTTAAATTTCAAAATTATGAAACAACTTCAATCACATTCATAAATGCTTGATTGAATGAAGAATGTGCCACTCAGTGTCTTAGTATGTTGCCTTGGTAGTTCAAAACAATTAAGAAGAACATATTTCTTCTCTAAATTTGGAACAACTGAGGCAGCAGGCCTGCAACTTGCAAGTCTTGTATGACCTTCTATACCCTGCCTTATTCTAATAAACTTGGAGTCGACTAATTTATTATTATATGCCACTTCATTCAATTTAGCACTTTATCTACTGAAAAGGCCAAATAAAACTAAATCTTCTGCAATCACATCAAGCCAAGAGGAAATTTAGTTCAATCTTCAAACTCACCCTTTGGTGCCATCAATAGGATCCAAAACCCAGTGCTGACCATGAGGACCGCCATCAGATTTTCCATTGTCAATGGCAACAAGTACATCTTCCACAGATAAAGGCAACACATCTGCCATTCCATCACTGGCAAGGGTTTCATTCACAAGTTGCGTTATGCGCTTTAGAGTACCCTGGGCTTCTTCTTTGCGGAGGTCTTCTGAATCCTAGAAATACTCAATCTTCATATACTCCATTCAAACAGAAAAATATGAATAACTTGCACATGTTTGATGGGAGAATAAGCTTTAAAATGTTATTTCCTGTTAAAAGAAAGAAATAAACCACCTTGTAGAAAGAGGTATGAAGATTGAAGCCAAAATAGGCCACATCATTAGATCAATAGGTTCACAAATACGGATATTTTTTCAATAACCAGTATAAAAACCAATCCCAAGTTTTAAGACTACCTCTTCAGCCACTAGTGAAAATGACATTGATGGCAACTCTTTCTCCAGAATATAGCTAACAACAGCTTGTGAACCTGCAAATTAAATCCAAGCACTGTTAAATTGAGAAAACTGGATTGCATTTGGTCTCTCGGAGTCTAATGGCCAGCCTCATCATGGAAATTGATATTTGTAGGCATAATATGTAAACTTCGAGTGCATTTAGCGTATGAGTGCCTTTTTATTAAACAGGAGAAGTGGTAAACTCATCATCAACAAAATTTACCCCTCCCTTTAGTTTCTCTCAGAACACTGGAATTAAGTGCCTGATTTTTTTTTTTTTGATAGCCGTAGATGTCCGGGCCAGCTTGCGCGCACCTCGACTAATTCCACAGGGCCCTGAAGTTTACGGCCGGGTACTCACCTCAGTGGCCCTCATCAACAAAATTTACCCCTCCCTTCAGTTTCTCTGAGAACACTGGAATTAAGTGCCTGAATTCTCCTCCTTGTATGAAACAAAGGTGAATTTCATTTTATTGCATCTTCCAATTTTCTGCAACAAATTTACGAGCAATGCTTTTGCCATAAAAGACGCCCACATGGACAGTTTCAGTATCTGACCATTCATTTTGTGACAAGCAGTCATATGTACGCCAGACCTGAGGAAAACCAATCTTGCACAAGAAATGATGCTCACTAACTTCAGCCCTAATTGGGTTTTCTTAGAGTAAAGAAAGATTTGGCCTTTATTAAGAAGATATTATTGGGTTGTGCTCACCCTCACTAAGCAAACAAAGGCTTACCTAGAAAGGTAACTCAATCAAATCTATTTGATTCAATCAATCACTCCATACATTCAATCAGACAAAGAGAAAACAATTATTATAATCAACACTTTGAATTATATAAACTATAAACACGATCAGAAGAGAACCTTCCAAGTTCCTTAGCCCCCTAACTGCCAAATGTAATAGCTTATGCTTCATATTTTGACCAAGTGAAGCACTCTCTACCTATGTTCTTTTCAAAGTTGATGCTCTCATGTCGTCACTCATGTTCTCAAACTCACATCCACACTGTCATTCAGACTACAAAGTGCTTTAATTTGTAGCATGCAGGCAACCAAAATGTTTTTTCCATAAAATCCCCCCCCCCCCCCCCCCCC